CGAGAGATCAGAAGGATTCAAGTGGAATCAGTCACCCTTGCTATACCTTATTGACTGCTCCTAGAGGATACCCATATAAACTTAGACAAAATCATTCTTACACAGAGACATAATTTTGTGAAAATCCAGCTACCAATCTCATCAATATGGGGGTTACAGTTTAATATAAAACAATGCAGGCACATTAGTTGGGTCATCTACAGTGATTCTGTGACCGTGTAGAGCGAAGGTTCATTTCTCAGTGGATTTAACTTCTTTGAAGGTTAAATAACAAATTTAATTCCCATGCCCCTCGCAAATATGTGGGCATTCGTCGCGGGGGGTCAGAAACCAAAATGGCCGCCATTTTGAAAACAATTGTTTATTGAATATTCAATTGTTTTGCTAATTATGCTCCACATTTAAGTTGGTTTATGTATATTTTTGGACAAGGAATTCATATTTGACATTGTTTTAAAATTCTAACTTATTTTTAAACCTTCAAATCCAATTGGTCGGCCATTTTCATACAGAAATTACCATCATAGAGACTTTAGTAACCCTGTAGAGCGAAGGTTCATTTCTCAGTGGATTTATCTTCTTTGAATGTTAAATAACAATTTTAATTCCCATGCCCCTCGCAAATATATGGGCATTTATCGCGGGGGGTCAAAAACCAAAATGGCTGCCGGCCGTCATTTTGGAAACAATTGTTTATTGAATATTCAATTGTTTCGTTAATTATGCTCCATTATGTATATTTTTGGACGAGGAATTCATATTTGATGTTTTAAACTATTTTTGAGCAATCAAATCAAAGCTAGTGGGCACTTTTCTGAAAAAAAAGCCACTTTTTGAACAAGTCTTTGTGGAGCCTAATAGACGATGAGCTGAGAAGAGTAAACTACAGGTCAGTAAGCAAATATTTTTCCTAATATTTAACTGTCGTTACTGTGTATGTACTTGTACAGCACTACATCCCATATAATTCATACATTTTTCTGTATGTATAAATAATTAACAATTAGACAACGAAGCCGAGTTGTCTATGAGCGAATAGTCAATGAGGCGAAGCCGAACTGACTATTCGCTCAGAGACAACGAAGCTGAGTTGTCTAATTGTTTTAGTATAAACCACATAAAGAAAACGGAATTTTTCACTTGATTTTTATGTAAAATAATAACTTTTTAACGAAATGAGCGTTTAAATGGCTTCCTTTGGCAACATTACTCCTCGGCCTTGTTGACAACTACTCAGTGTTGCGAACTCTCAAGAATATGACAGTCACATGAAAAATACAACTTCTATGTTTTAAAAAAGTTAAAAAACATGTCGTAAAACAGTATAACAGTAAGAGATTGTTACTAAATTAGTAAATAAAGTTTATGTTAAAAAGCCGAATAAAAATGCACACAATGCAAAAGAATACGATTATCCGAATGTCGTTGAAATCTTTAAAATATCTGGAACATAAAGAGGAAAACCATTTCCATAATCTAGTATACATAGACAATAGTTTAGATTAAAATTTAATCGAAAAACTTGACTTAAAATTAATAAAAAGGCTTGAAAAGGCAAAAAACAAACTCGGCCAAAGTCTCAACATTTAACTCTTTTTCGACCACCCCCTTTCGCATCAGATTACGACACAATTTTTCTAATATAAATATCTCGGCGAGTATTTACCCCCCTTGTAAATAAAAGCCACCATTGAAATCCTCATAAAATAACCTTTCGAACGGGGGGTCAAGTGCCGTCAGAGCATTACACAAACCGAAACAATCATATATTTACTCACCACTTGGCCAAAGATTCTAGATTTCATATCTACAAGATCTTGAATATCTCTTGAACTTTTCGTCATTTTCTGAACGGCTATATGTGTAAAATACTCTTTGTATCCAAGCGCTTTCGTGTAGAAAGTTTCGTATGTATACGCCGACTAGAAATATTTATTTTGAATTTTTCAATATGTCGGGTTTTACTCGCACTTGCGTACATTGTGCAATAATTAGCCAATAAGAAGCTCCTGTTGGCCGGTATGACATCAAACTCACGTGTGTAGGTGCAATTTGACCTTGCGAATCCATTTCTGGCCTTTCCAGGGTCATACAATACAAACGTCGCATTGTTTTGATGGTTTTCAGACGTATTTCCGGTTGGGATTAACTCACTTCGAGCTCACAGTCGGACAAGAAATGGAAATATATTGATAAAAGATACAGATTTGAAGATACAGGCTTGCAAATAACACTCTAAATAGTGTTTTGATGGGGATTCGACCAAGACTATTACAAAGACGATATGTACGAAGGGGCCGAAGTTATTTTCAGCGAAAGGTATGGCTAGTCTATATTTTGTTCAGACAATTGCGTAATTTGATACAATATTATCGTGTTTGACTTTCAAAGGCCCATAAATCGTTACAATGTTAATGACTATAACTATCGTTTGGAACTAGTAGATCTTTTATTTCTGAATTGATTGGTGGTATTTCTGTCTTCATAGCATGCACTGAACCGAAGGTACAAAATTTCTAGCTGTCGATCGCTCAGGATCGACTCGACCTGGCTGTGGTGACAATGAGTTAAACGAGAGAAACAACTCTTTAAAATGACAGCTAAATACATGAACTCGTACTTAAAACAAGCACACACTAAAGAGGTTGAGAAAATAGGGGTAAATAGCTTAAAGTATTGTTGAATTTCAACGATTCTGCTTGGAATATTAAATAAATTATATATTTTCAAAAATCGCCTGTCACTTTCATGCTCAATACAACAAGCAAAGTTGACAAAACTTAAACATTTTACTGCATATGTCAGCAGTTTCCAAGAGTCTTTCTTTGTGTGTAATCCAGAACCAAAATTAAGCCATTTTGATAAGCTTTTTCCCTTTAAATGCAGCTTTTAATACTTAAAAACGATCAGGGGGGTCCGGGGGAATCCTCCCCCGGGAAATTTTGAAATCTAGGACCTCGGAAATGCGATTTCCTGTGTTCTGAGGGAGCTTTTCTTCGAAGTTCACACATCAAAATCGAAACGTAATTTGCTGGATTTTCGGGGGAAAAAACGTAAAAAATCGGCCTTATAGAGTGAGAACAACATAATCATGTGAGTTTTAAAATAAATTGAAAACATTTTACGCGAAGTTTTATCAGATCGAAACTTGACTAGCCTTATTTATTTGATCCTATTTGAGTGAGGATTATAGATTAGCAAAGTTGTAGCTATAAATTACAATTTTACATACAAGTGTACACTACTTACATGTACACAGCATACTGATAGAATAATTGAAAGCAAAACCACAGACATTTTTTCTATGTAAAATATGGTGCAAATGACATGAAAAGCTGATCAGGGTTGTGTTTCTTATGCAAAATAGATAAGAATACTTCAAGCAAACTATTATATTCATTGCCAATGATATCACTTCCTGTAACTTATCACTTCCTGTTACCAGTTAACACCAATCAATATAACAATGTTCCAGGTCAAATACCTTCCAGCAGCACCACCATGACATAACTTCCAGTTAAATTATTTTAATAATCCAGGATTAATTCCAGGGCAACTTTGAGTTACTGTATATGAAGGCCCTCTCTGGAGCTAGTCACTCTAATATTTATGGATGCATTTATATCCAACATTTTGACAAATGCAGTTTGAATTTTTAAATACTGTAAGATTATCAAAGTATTCAAGGGTGTTAGGTAATAGTTTTCATTGTTGCTGAGCAGTTAATAATAAAAATAAACAATTATTGAAACTATTTGCAGAAAATAGATTATTCTACTGTATTTGAAGTCTGGATATCTACAATACATTGACCAATATATCTCCACAGATTTTGCATTGAATCCCAAATTACAGTACATTCAGGAGAGTGTCTAGGACTACTGTATGTATCCAAAACTGCTGTTTCAAGATATTAAGAATAGACAGGGAGAAGTGCATGTTATGGACTTGGTAGGTATCTGATTGCATGAGCAGGATTGACAAGCTTCAGTAACAGTGGCAGTGCAGTATATTGTGATCAACTCAATTAGTACATTGACTTATCAATGAAAGTGAGATAATTTATCAATTTATACATTAATGTATTCTATGCAATGACCCTTTGTTGTATTGAAAATAAATGATAGAATGATCAGAACAGTAATTTGGTCCCATAACTGCTAATTAGACTGGTACATTTAAAATGAACACCTTGTGCTGAGCCATGGTCATGAGAATGGTATCATTTAAAGGCATATGAACAATGCCAGGAAAAGCATCACAAATTTAAGGGGCCGAACTTGATAGAGCCCAGCTAAATTTATTCCCTTCCTAAACATGTGAATCCCCTTTATTTTCAGCATCACAATAATTTGCCGGTCACCCCCTGTGCCTCTCCCCTCACCTTGGCAGGGGCAACCCTGATACATGTAATGCCATTTAGTGTGATTGATGGCTTCTGGTACTAGGTGATGATTCTGGAACAATAGAGATAATATATAACTGAACTAATCTCACTATCACCAAACATTGCCCTTTCAAGAGCTTCCCATTTCCAAAATGATGCACATACAGGGATGGATTTGGATATGGAAGGGATCTAATTAGGTGCCGGTATTGATGTCGGGTGTGAGCATCAACCAAGGCATGGTGTGTAATCATACAGATAGCAGTGTTTTGGGGAAACAGCACCTAACAAGTAACCGGCCAAGTAACCGGCAGGTGCCAGGAATATAGCTGCTAGTAAGGGTTGCAGGATCCTAGACAGAGTCCCTTAGACTGTAAGAATCTCAGGTGTTGTGTTCTAGTAGCGGAAGTGCGTATAGACGGAAGTGAACTGGTAGCGGGATTCGGGGAAGAGGACTTACGGGGAAGGACAGACACAGAGACACGAGGCATAGATGAAGCGATGTATATATTTCATAATAGTTTCCTATAAGTATTAACGTTCACATTACATATCTATATTGTTTCTTACAATATAACATTGGCGACGAGGATAACCTCAACATTCGATTACTATGGCAGGATTAGATTTCTCGGGAATTCAACAGTTTGATCCTCATTCAGAGCCAAGTTTGCTGGCTTCGCAGTGGAAAGAATGGCTGCAACGATTCAAACGATGTATAGTCGCTTTTGACATCAAAGACAAAGCAAGGAAACGAGCTCTATTGTTATACCTGGCCGGTCCAAAGGTGGAAACAATATTTGCCACGCTCTCTGATACGGGAGAAGAGAACGACTTCGATAAAGCCATAGAGAACTTGACAGAGTATTTCGCGCCGAAGAAAAACATTCTATACGAGCGACATATTTTTCGCCAAGTCAGCCAGCGATCTGACGAAACACAATTGACCAATTCTGTACACGACTGAGACATCGTGCCTCGACATGCGAATTCGATAATGTAGAGGACGAGATTAAAACACAAATCGTGGAAAACTGCAGGTCTAGTCGACTCAGAAGGAAAGCATTTCGGGATGACCCCAAGCTGGATGATTTGATTAAATACGCGAGAGCACTGGAAATTTCTGATCACCATGCTGAAGAAATGGAAAAGCAACACCGTCAGGAGGCTGTGTATCAAAACACCAGACGAGATTTTCCGCCAAGGGATGTAGAAGGTAAACAAGCACAAACTTGTTATAATTGTGGAGGGACGTACCCCCACCAAGGCAGGCCCTGCCCCGCTGCAGGCAAGACCTGTCATAATTGCTCAAAAACTGGACATTTCGGTCGAGTTTGTAAGTCTGAACAAAAACCAATCTCTCGAAAACCTCGAATGCCTCAGGACCAATATAAATCGAAGGCAAACAAGTTGAATGCTTTGAACCAAAATCGGCAACAGCAACCACTCTCTACTGAGCCAACAGTACAAGGTGAACCGGAAGTAAGCGACAGTGATAGCAATGAGGATATATTTGCTGTTTCAAGAGCCAAGAAAGTGAAGCAACCACCCATGACAAAACTCAAAATTAATGGGGTGAAAGTAGAGTTTTTGATTGACACCGGAGCTTCAGTGAACATTTTGACACAAAAGGACTATGAGTTTCTCTGTACAAATTCAAATGACCAAATCTCTTTACGAAAAACTAAAACTAGAATCTATGCGTTTGGCTCTTCAGAACCAGTTGAGTTGAAAGGAAAGTTTGAAGTTCTAGTTGACTGAAAGCGTCGTGTTGCTGCCGCTACATTTTATGTCACAAAGGGAACTCAAGGCACTACTTCAATTCTCGGTTGTGAGACGTCTACTAATTTGCGTTTGATTACCATGAATGTTAATTCTGTGTCGAAAGTATCGGCTGTCAAGTCGGACTCTGGAACTGATACGAGTAGCTGTGATTTGGATGCGAGTAAAAGAAAAGAAAACCTATTGAAAGGTAGGCACCCTAATGTATTTACAGGAATTGGTAAACTAAAGGGGCATGAACAAAAGATTCACATAAATACCAATGTACCCCCTGTTGCCCAAACGAACAGGCGTGTTCCATTTCATTTACGCAAACAGTTAGACACCTGGCTTGACGATTACTTACAAAAAGATATAATTGAGCCTGTATCTGATGAGAGCACTGACTGGGTGAGTGGACTAGTTCTTGCACCAAAACCCAGAAACCCCAATGAAGTAAGAGTATGCGGCGACTACCGCCAAGCAAACACAGCTATAAAAAGAGAAAAACACCCAATTCCTACAGTTGACGAACTGATGGAAAGTATGAATGGGGCAATTAAATACAGTAAGATTGATTTGAAGGCTGGGTATCACCAAATTCCCCTTGAGAAAAGTTCCAGGTCCATTACTACATTTATTACGCATCGTGGATTGTTTCGCTATAAACGATTACCTTTCGGTATCAACTCGGCCAGCGAGGTATTTCAGCATGCTATCGAGAATGCCATTCGAGGGATAGACGGAGTTCGTAACATCGCGGATGATATAATTGTTTGGGGGTCAACACAACAGGAACATAATTTACGGTTAGAGCAGTTATTTGCTCGCTTAGACGAGTCCGGCTTAACCGTAAATAATGACAAATGTCTATTTGATCAGAGAGAACTTTGGTTCTATGGCTTTCTCCTTACTGATTCAGGCATAAAAGTTGATCCAAGGAAAGTTGATGCAATTAAGCATGCTAAGGAACCAAAGGACACAAAAGAACTCCGTAGTTTCCTAGGGCTAGCAAATTATTGTTCCAGATTCATCAAGAACTTTTCAACTCTTACATCCCCCTTGCGAGAACTTACTGTAGCCAAAACACCCTATGCATGGACACCTAGACACACAGCAGCATTTGCTGCTATTAAAGAAGCTATACAGAAAGACTGTATCATGCATTTTTATGACCCAAATCAGAAAACATGTCTAACAGTCGATGCAAGCCCCACAGGTCTTGGAGCAATATTGTCGAACATTGACAGAGCAGGTAATTTGCATAATGTAGCATATGCCAGTAGGTCACTCACTCTAACTGAACAACGGTATTCACAAACCGAACGAGAGGCCTTAGCCGTTGTCTGGGGTTGCGAACG